TCGAGCGGCAAGCTATGGAAAGACAGCAGCTTGAGCGACAAGAGATGGAGAGGCAGCAAGCCGAGCGGCTGCAAATCGAGAGACAACAGGCCTTGGAGAGGCAACAGATGGAGAGACAACAAATGGAGAGGCAGAAGTTGGAGGCTCAACAGGCTCAACAGGCACAACAAGCTCAACAGGCCAAGGAGCATTTGCGACCCGAGCGCACACGCATGAAGCAGGAGCCCGAGATGACACCCCCTCACCACCGTTACGAGCCTTTCGGGTTCGGTCAACAGCCGGTCCGGAGCGTTCCACCTCCCCGATCGGAACCGCCGGTCCCGGCAAGGCAGGCGGAGCCGCCTCGCGGAGCACCGACACCGGTGCCCCAAGCTTACGGTCAGCCAATGCCGCAGCCAGGCGGTCGTGGCTTACTAGGCGACCCTCAGCCATCGGTATCGACGCCCCCTGCCCAGCGCCCGATCACCAGTGCCCAGAGACCCATGCCCTCGCATATGGACTCTTATGGCACTCCGCCGCCTGCTGCTGCACCTCGTCCGCCAGTTTCGGAGCCACGCAAGACATCCAACCTCATGGCATTGCTCAATGACGATCCTCCCGCGGCTGCAGCTGCACCTGCACCGACGCCTCAACCTAAGCGTGTTAACGATATGGCTCAAGTCAAACCGTCGCCCACGCCTCCTCCTCAAAGCATGTCCAGAGGCCCTGCGCCAGCTCCAACTCCAACACCATTGCGTCCGGAGCGAGAGCCCCCTCAAGCATATCCTTATGCCCGGAATGCTGCCCCATCTGCGTCTGCCATGCCTCCGCTGAAGCCAACATATACTGCTTCACCACAGGCTCAGCATATGAACGCGCCGAGATCTACTATGGCTTCTCCTCACGACGCAGCAAACGCAGTCGAGCGCGACTATTACCGTCATCAATACCCGCAGCATCAAACACCCGCGACAAACTCACCTCAAGTCGCACAGCCTTATCCCCCTCAGGCGCAGCCACCTCCCCGAGAGCACTACCAACCACAAACTGGCTACCCTGCGTACGGAGCTGCTGGCTCCCCACCCCAGCAATACGCCGTTCATCAGTCGGCATCTAGACGGGAGCCGCCGCCGCCGCAAGCTCGCGAAAACGCGTGGCCAACTGGGCCCCAGGGCCATGCCATGGGTCAACCGCAGCCGCCTCAGCAACCACCATCGGCCTGGCCGCCTTCTCACGCAACACCAAAGGCTCAACCAGCGCCGCCGCCTCAGTCTACTTGGGCATCTCCACACACATCTGCTCAAAAGATACCCGCGGGTGGCATGCCGCAGCAATCATGGGCATCCGCCCCGCCTCAGCAACAGCAACCTCCGCCGCATCACCATATGTCTATGCGGGACGACAGAGGCGCTCCCATGTACGGCCAGCCTCCTCCCCAGCATCCGCACGCCATGCAAGGTCGTTACCCGCCAGTCACTCGGGCACCTGAGCCGATGCCACCCCAGGCGCCGCAAGCTTATCCACCGCGATACGCGACACCGGGACCGAGGGACCAAATGCCGCAACGCAGCTACACGCCTGTCGGTTACGATGCTCGTGGTCCCCCTCCTGGGCCATATGGCGCCGATCCAAGAGAGATGCAAATGCGTGATCCTAGAGATCAGAGAGACCCTCGGGAGCTGCAACAACAGCAGATGATGCAACAGCGGCAAATGGGCTATGATAGACAGCCTGACCGTTATGGTCGATAAATGAGAACCCGTCTTGGCCAGCTTAAACAGAAATAAAGGGAAAATGTACAAAATTCGAGCTCCAGGAAGATAGCTCAGGCGGCTAGCTTGGATGGGTACAAGGGAGCGTTGGGGGGTTTGGCTGTAGATCATGTATTCATACGCACTGTTTTTTGTCGTGCTTAGTGCACCATCAGAAAGGTTTTCAATTGAGTTATGTTCATAAAACTTCTTTGGCCTCAGACGAGCAGTTCGATGTGCCACGCCACGCCACCAGTGACAAGTAACACGAAGCGAATGTCAGTCCATCGCGAACATCACGTCGATGTCGACACGTCGGCAGGAGACGTCTTCACTACAACACCTAATCGCCCGCTCTTGTGCACACTTTCATCGATTGGTGCAAATACTGAGCACAGGTCGAAGCGGTAGCAGGGACGTCTCAGCCGGCTGAGGTGGGAGTCGATCAACACAGACAGATAACTACCTTCACCATTCGTATTCGGGATGGTCAATGGGCGTATTAGCCGCTTGGCAAAAGGTGTGAAATGGCAGACGTCTCATTTGGCCCGTCATGCTCTTGGTCGCAGCAATTAATTATCCCACCGGAAAGTTAAATACCTTAGGCGTCCGCATAGCTCCCGGCGCCGAAGCCAATTGCTCAGAGAGTTTTTAAAAGCAGAGATCCCGCGTTCGAGATAGGAGTGCTTCTTATTTTCTTGGCTTTGGTTGTTTGTGAGAGCAACGAGATATCGCCATGGCCGAGAATATGTCGACGGTTGGGGACGCCTCAACTTTTATGCTAAAGGGGGACTTTGGATTATCACCAACGTTTCTCAGCCTCATTGCAGGATTGATTGTTATCGTACTTTTCATCAGTAGATGGTCCACCCCCGACCTCGACGTTCGAGAGCCGCCGGCTTTGAAACCTCGATTTCCGGTTATAGGCCACTTAGTCGGCGTCCTCTGGCACCAAGGCCAGTATTTCAGAGTTCTATAGTGAGAAGCAGCCTCTCCGGCAATTCCCTCGCGCTGAACAAAGTAACTGACACCTCTATCCCCATTAGTGAGAAAGACTTACCGATAGCAACCCTGCCGATACTCAACGGCAAACTGTACGCCATCTGGGACCCTGCCCTCGTGCAGTCTGCCTACCGCAATAAAGACCTATCCTTCGAGCCCTTTGCTGTCGAGTTCGCCCAGAAGGACCTCGGCCTAAGCAACGATGTAGCCAAGCTGCTGCGGGAAACGGACCTCGTGCCGGACTTTTTTGGAGTTATCCACCCGGCGTTGAACGGTGCCCATCTGCATTCTATGAACGCCAACGCACTGAAGTATGTCTCCGCGGAGCTCGACAGGATCGGTGGAGGAGCCGGCGATGAGGGCGGGCTGAATGTGCCGAACTTGTTTGCGTGGGTGAGGAGGGTCATGACGCTGGCGACGACGGAGGGGCTTTACGGGGTTGAGAATCCGGTGATGAAGGATCTGAAGTTGATTGATGATCTGTGGTGCGTATTCTCAAAAAAGAGAGACAAGGGGAGGTTGTTTTTTGCTGACATGGCCGTAGGACGTTTGAAAGCGGCGTGCCCTTGTTCATCCTGGACATCCTTCCGCAGTACACAGCCCGCAAGGCCTTTCAAGCCCGCGCGCGTCTTCAAGCGGGCCTTTCGAGGTTCTACATGGCCAGACACGACCACAACGACGACGTGGCGCAGATCGTCAAGGCCAGAGCAGATGTCCTACGCAGGTACGGCATCCCGGACCGCGAGATCGGAACGTTCGAGCTGGGGCTGCTGCATGTCGGAACAGCCAACACCATTCCCGTCTTTTTCTGGTTTCTGGCGCATGTCTTCTCGCGACCGGAGCTGGTCGAGAGACTGCGCGAGGAAGTGCTGGAGGCGTCGCAGCGGAAAGAGGACGAGGCCATCATCGACATCACGATCTTCGAGAAGGAGTGTCCCCTGCTTGTGAGCTGTTACCGTGAGAGCATGAGGCTCTCAAGCAGAGTCATTGGGAATCGGAGAGTTACGAAAGACACGACTATTTCCGACGGGAAGGGAAGGTCTTACACGTTGAAGAACGGGGTCAATCTACAACTCTCCGCTGAGGTTCTGCACAATATGAACCATGTTTGGGGAGAGGCGCCGGCGTCATTTGTTCCGGAGAGATTCCTGGCGGTCGATAATGGGGTTAGTAAAGAGGTTGGGGACGAGAAGATGAAGAGAGCAGCGTATATCCCCTTCGGAGGAGGCCGGCATTTATGTCCTGGGCGGAACTTTGCTTTTGCGGAGAATCTGGGATTTGTTTCGGCCTTGTTGCTTGGGTTTGAGGCGAAACCTCTGAATGGGAACGTTGGCGAGTTGCAGGTGCCAGAGGCAATGGCGTGTACGCTTGCAGATGGCACGCCCAAGCCAGAGAGAAACGGAGAGGGGTTTGGAGTGAGAATCGTCAGGAGGGAGGGTTGGGAGAAGGCGAAGTTCAGATTCGTGTGCTAATCGTGGGTAGGAGACCACACATCAAGATCAAGATGTATGAGATGAGACTGCTGGGCTACTTCGTCGAACGATGAGGGAAGATTTTTTATAAATGACGGAACTTGAAGATGCCAGTATGATGGTGAATGACGATAACAAACGGGAAGAGGTCTCCTTTAAGTCTACCGAGAAGACTGAAGAACTGGTCCATCTTACTCACGTGCCTCTAAAGCAAGAGGCTTCCATTTTTTCATCTCAACTTATATTGATTTGGAGCAACGGTCATTTTCCAATAGATTGTTGAGTGTTTCTTGGCTGCAGTGGTCTCATTCAGAGTCGCGAGGACGGGTTGGCTGTAAGTAACGTACGTATCGTCATGACCAATTCATTCAGGCCGTATTCTCAATCTGTTGGGCTTTCTGATTTTCGAGCTCTTTTCTCATTCACAGCCCGCATCCCAGACCATCCCAACTTTTAGGGTCGCAAAGTTCATCATGAACGACGATACAACTTGAAGATTCGAAATCCAGCGTATGTTACATTCTTGAAATCTGCAAAGGGACTACCAGTGGCAACAGCGGTAAGGGCGGCTACGTTCCGCCGGCTGGTATGAAAGCGTTCGTCCCACTTCCAGGGCCAAAAGGGCGTGCATGTCAGTTCAAAGGCGGAACGGTGGATAACCGTTCCCGCTGAAGATCAACGACATCTATTTTGACCTGAGGTGTCCCGTCTAGATGGAAGAGGACATTCTCATGCAGACTCCTCTCTTGAACCTGCACCTCGTATGCTTCATTGCCTTTACTTGCCTGATATCAGTATGTCGGTAGCGTCACAAGTTGCTCTGGCGAGCTACGCCAACATGTTCAGCATCGGAACCGCCTACGCCCTCAGCATCGTGCAGTTCGAGCTACCTAGACTTCTCAAAGTCCCTCGAGAGATGTCTTTCGCCCCCTTCGGAGCAATCAGTGCCGGTCTTGCAATAGGAGTCGCGACGGCCGCCTCTTCTACCACAAAGAGTGGTGCCCGTTCGACTGCGGCGAGAGGTACAGCACTTTGGGGTCTCGCCGTGCTTTTCAGGTGACATTTCTTGACGTCTTCCAACTTTCTAGGCCTCATCGCGGGGCTGTTTCTCGGTGGAATCGGCGTTGGATGGACGTACCTCGCCGTCATCATCATGGTCGGCCAAGCATTCCCGAATCATCCTCTAGCAAGAAGTGTCATAGGGCCTTTGGGCTTCTCTTCGGGCGCGGCGGCCAGCTTCGCCTTTTCTTCGTTTCTCAACTTCAACACGCGAGGCGCGGAGGATATCGGCGGGTTCCTCAAAATCGGGGGAGTGACATTCATAGCCGTTGGGGCAGCGACACAGCTGTTATTGCCCAGCGATACGACCAATGGCCAACCGCAAACAACATTTACGACACTCGAGAAGAAACCCGAGAACTTTCTGAAGGGCACCTTCTGGATCTTGCTCTTCTTCAACGCCTTGCCAGGAATGGTGGCATTCTCTACTCTCCTTCCGGGGGTGTCGCACTACAGGTCGACAGATCAAGACAGTCCAGGGAATTACTTGCCTTACACCATGGCCGCACTCGCCGGCGGAGGACTCCTGGCGACACCTCTAAACTCCTTTCTTGGAACCAAACGCACCTTCGTAGTCCTTTTCTCCATCCGGGCCATGCTGTTGGTCGCTCTCTGGCATACGTCAAACCAAGCCCTGGCCCTCGTCACACTCTGCGCAATCCTCTTCGCCCACGGAGCGGGCTTCAGCACCCTTCCGGGTCTGATCAAATCTCGATTGGCTGAGCCAGCGAACTTTCCTCGAGAGTACGGTCGCGTTTTCACGGCATGGGGCGCAGCGGGAGTCGTCGCCAGCGGTCTCAACGCCACTGTGGAATCTTGGAATATTGTGTCTTGCAATAGGATCGATTCTGCTGGTCGCTGTTGTTGGAATCGTGGGCACTCCTCTCGATGTGTAAGACTGATATATTGTCAAACAAGCTAGGGGCGGCATTCTGACCTCGCGTATTTCAAATCCACGCTCTGGGGAAAGAAACGGGCCCGGGAGCAAGCAGTCGAAAGAATTATGAGTGGCGTCACACAGCCATACCGCAATACTGTAGACTGCCTGGTGTCTAATTGCCCGAGCACCGTCCTCCGTTGAGAACCCTCCGAAGTCCATGAGCTGGAAATGGTGTTTTCGGAGTGAAGTTGGAGTGGCTCACGTCAGTCGAGGGCTTCCACGGCAAACCCGCTTACTCAATGTCGATCCCCGGAAATAACAGGGCTTGAACTAACAGGCGGTCAGCGGGCGGGAAAGCCGCCGAAGAGAGATAACGATTATGTACATTACATACGACTCGCGAGAACAACCTGCAGGGTTAATTTGTCAGGAAATGTGACGTTCATCCGAGTTGCAGGGATGTTTGAAAGAAACTCCCCCCCTCATGTACGCAGAGGATCATGAACTCCTCGGAGGCAGATGAAAGTCCCAGTATAATATTGACGGGGCAGCTTGGACAAATTTGAAAACTTTTGGCAGAGAGTATAGAATTCAATCAAGCTTCAGGCGTCTCAGAAGCGGCCCAATACCATTCTCGCGATCCCCTCATTTGCGTCATTTCTTCAGCAGCACATCGCCCTCAATATCCAATATGTCTACATTTGAAGAAAAAGTCACCACCGCCGTTCACGATGGCATTCTGCCAGGCGTCGTGCTATACGCAAAGGACAGATCAGGTATCATTGCTCTGCCTCTTACTTCACTCTCTGTCTCTGACACGTCTAGGCCGCCTGAACTACTCCCAGGTCATCAACTCTCAAAACGCCTCCCATATTCCATCCATCTCCCCCTCATCAACTCTCTGGCTAGCTTCTGCAACAAAGATTATAACCACCATCTCCGCTCTCCTACTCGTCGAGCGTAACATCGTAACCCTCGACGACGACATCTCAGGCCATTTACCCGCCCTCGCCTCTCAACCGGTCCTTAGCGGCTTCGCCAGCTCCAATGAACCCATTCTGTCACCCCGCAAGAACCCAATCACTCTGCGTCAGCTTCTATCCCACTCCGCTGGAACGGGCTACGACTTCCTCTCTCCTGAAATTCAGCGCTGGCAGGTTCTCAATGGCAAAAAGCCCGTCTCAGGATCAAATGTCGAAGAGCGCTTCTCGTACCCGTTTCTCTACGAACCCGGTGCCCACTGGGCGTACAGCAATGCTATCGACTGGACCGGTCGTCTCGTTGAGGTTCTGACCGGCCAAGACCTGGAAACTTACATGCGCCAAAACATCTTTCAGCCCCTGAACCTCAAATCCTTCACATTCAACGCCGCCAACGTGGAAAAGACCCTCTGGCCGCTGAGCACCCGCAACCCGGAGACCGGCAAAGTCGTTCCTTACACCGGAAGACACCTGAACAACGGTGTAGAGTCTCCGCTTGGAGGCCAGGGTCTGCACGGGAGGATGGACGAGTACATCGAGATCCTCTACTCCCTCCTCATCGATGATGGAAAACTGCTCCGTCCAGAGACCACTGCGGAGATGTTCAAGCCTCAGCTAAGTGCCCAGTCGAAGAATGCTCTGCTGCGTAACATGGACACCCCTCAGGGATTCGTGGGTGACTTCCCTGACACCAAGGAATATGCCTGGGGGCTCGGCGGGATTCTCATCGACGGGGATAGCCACCCGTACCGTAAGAAGGGGACGCTGATCTGGAGCGGAGCGGCCAACATCTTCTGGGTAAGTAGCACCACAATCACCTCAAAGCAACTGAGCCAAGAGTCTTGAAAACTGACATTACCATAGTGGGTTGATCGTGAAACCGGGATCTGCGGCCTCTTTGGCACGCAGATCATGCCAGCTGGAGAGCTTGTCACGAAGGGATATATCAAGGCTTTTGAAGAGGAGATATATGCGAGAGCCCAGGTGTTGTAGGCACGACCCAACCATCCATGTTAATACTACTACTGGAGAGCAAGTCCAATGAACGAAGAGTTGAGCTTTGCCGATTGTCGATAATGCTCGGTCAGTTCTCAAGTTGTATGCCTCCTTTTGACTCTTGGGCCGACGTCATCTTCCTTCATATTCGAAAGCCTCATAACGTTGGACCGTGAGCCACTACTACTGAACAATCATAAGAATACTCCGCGAAGGGGAGAGAGGGATAAGAGTCTCAAGGGCTGGATGTATTTAGATAGACCATCTAGACCACGATTTACGGTCCTTCCACATGATACAAAGTCACTCATGTGTGATAAACTTGGAGCGATTATTGCAGATGGTTCGCAATCTCGTCAATGCTTGAAAGCGATAACTCGATTTCCCGACATTTACTACCTCACTCATCACTTGGCATATTATACCGATCAACCACATCTCAGACTATTCATCTAGGATATGACCTATGATATAGTGTCAAGGAGTAGGATTCCTGGCTTACGCTTGGATCTCTACTAATGGCTGAGTTATTGGCTATTATTGTTTACTCCAAAAGATTTGTCCGTTTCTTCAGATATCTACACTGAGCCCAAGAGAACATCATCTGCACCGGTCATAATTTTCATTGCGAATTACATCTTAAATACTTCAATACCTACAAGAACACCTACTCATATGGACCCAAACACATTCACAGTGGTGGTTCGCAAGAGCTACGGCTTACAAAAAGCAGCCATGCGGGTAAGGTAATTCCTCAAAACCCCAGAACAGAATTCATCGGTCTGAATATCGAGTCCTTCTATTATGACTATTACGCAGAAGGCTAACCCTAAACGACTCGCTTCCTCGTGAAGAACAACGGCTGGGAGACCTCTCAAACTGGGCCTGAAAAGCGGCTGCCGTATAAGTATTCGATCCCAATACACCACAAACAAAGGAAATTGAGGGATATGATCAAGCCAATGCCTGATAGACAGATACACATATACATGGAACTGTACTCCTCCCAGAGGCCCTAAACCTCGCCATGCAACAACGCGAGATCAAACTACTCAATCATGTCAATTGCTGTTGCCGTACAGCAAGTAATCGGCCAATATACCATTTATATTAGAACCGTACATCCAACACCGACTAGGGGATGGGAGGAGAGTACGAAGGTTTCAAGTCACTCAGTCGAAAAGCATGGTGCAAAACTTAAAGTCCATCATTCGCCTTCGCTAAAAGCTAACACGACGAGCGCAAAAAGAGGTATGCGGCCAGCCAGGCAAAGAACTCAATCCTGCAATGCAAAAAAATTAAGAATCGGGAAAGCTCCCACACAAAAAAAAAGCTCCGCCATGTTGAAGCGGGTTGGTAAAAGAAGAGAGAGAAGACAAAACAAAAAAGGTGTTTGGACATATCCTCCATACGGGCATAACACGTAGAACCTTTTCCATCCCTTATGCTGCCGGTGGTGGTGGCGGCGACTTCTCTCCATCTGGTGCGGCAGCGTCGGCGGCGGCACCTGCTTCTTCCTCTTCCTCTTCTTCCACTTCTTCATACTCGTACTCGACACCCTCCTCCTCCTCTTCTCCTTCGGCGATGATGCCGTTCTGTCTTTCCCACACTTCCTTCCTGATTTTTTCGTCCTTCGCCAAGCGGGCCCTCTCGACTTCCTCGAAGCCGCCTGATTTCTTCAGCTTGCCCTCCTCGACGAAATTCGCAAGTTCTCTCTGTAGTTCGTTGCCCTTTCGGCCCGCAAGCTCCTTTTGCCTGAGTTTCTCTGCTCTCTCGATAGCTTCCAATCGATTTTCGTGATTAGGCTGTAGCGCCCTAACCTCTCCCAGAACGCCATCCTTCGCGGCGTTCTGGTCAAGGCTGTTTCCCAGGTTGTTCAAGCCCTTGGAAAAGTTGCGAGCAGTGCCAGCGCTGGCGCTGCTGCCGTTATCCTTCATCTGTTCCTTGGTGGCCTGCTCGACCAGCGCAAACGTTTCCGAGGCCTTTTCCAAGTCGTCCTGCAAATCGACCATGAGGTCCTCCATAAGGCGCAGCTCATCACGGCCCTTGCACACCTCCTCGAGCTCCTTCTCCCAGATCTTGGTCCAGATGGGCTTCTCCTCCTTCATGTAATCCTCCACCTTCTTAAGCTCCTTCGAAAGCTTCGTGATATCCTTAGCGACGCCCTCCAGTTGCCTAGGCAGCGGCCGCACACCACGGAGAACCACATCCTTCCGAAGATCTTCCACCAAGTCCTGAAGATCGTCGACCCTAGCGACAAGTCTGTCGGAGTCCGCGTTGAGTTGTTCGCGGCCCTTGGTGACGTAGGCGTGGCCGGTCTCGCCCTCGATGGTGGGAACCGAGGCCTTGACCACGGCGGACTTGACGTTGCTCGCCTTGTTGCGGATAAGGGACATGGAGCCCTGGATTTCCGACTGGAACTTGGAGTAGGCTTGTCGCATGACGGCGAGGTCACGGCGGAGGCTCTGAATCTCAGTCAAGTGGGTGCCAGCGAGCTTGCGGCCGCCTCCAACAGCGGCCGCACCAGCTCCGTCAGCTGGTGCAGCGACCACAGGCGGCATTGCTGCCAATCTAGCCATTTCCGTTGCGGTTTCTTGCTGGCGGTCCGAAACTCGTTGGATTGCCAGTCCTTGGTCATCCACATTCTGCTTAACATCCTGTACGATCTTCTTAAGTTGGCCAATGCCATCATCGATGTGGCGCTTGACCTCATCCAGGGCCTCGACGTTAAGGACAAGAACGGTACGGTCCTTGATGTCTGATAGGTCCTCCAGCTCATGCCTCACTCCTGAAACAGGATCTTGAATATAAATTTCAGGCAAATCGGCACCGTTAGCCTGGGTGTTCCAGGAGAACTTCTCGATGAAGGCGAGTTGGAGACGGCCCAGAGATAGCTCGCTGTAGCCCTCCGGCAGCACAAACTTCTTGACTTTTGACTTGTACTGCAAAAAGAGAGTCAAATCTTTCGTCAATGGCGGGGATTGCTCAGAAAGGAAGGTTGCGTCTCTCTTCTTCTCGGGTGTTCTGACTTGCGGCGATC